CTTTTTCAACTATATACACTGAAAAAAAATTCGCGGCGTTTTTACCAAGGTCCGTTGGTACCCTTACCATCTCACTTTTTTTACCAATTATTGGTAATTTTACCAAGACAGACTGGTAAGCTTACCCAAAACCGGTATTTTTACTGTTTTTTCAGGTAAGAATACCACTTTTATTGGTAATCTACTCCCGGTAACTTTGCCATTTTATCTCAGTAATTCTACCACGGTCAATAAAAAATATTGGCGTTTTTACCAAGGTCCAGTAAAATTACCGAGAAGTTCAATAATTTTACCGAGATTCTCGGTAAAATTACCAATTGCATACATGGTAATTTTACCAAGAAAAAACTGGGATCAAATAGAACCCTGAATTCTCGGTAATTTTACCCTTTTCTTAGTAAATACACCGATATTTTTTTTTCAGTGTACCTAAAAATCGAATATCCCCGGAAAATCTGTGCAAGATAAGGAATACCTAATCGAGCATTAACAGATCCATAAAATTGGCAACATTGCGTTTTCTCCATTTAAACCTATGGAAATGTATCGATTCTTAGAAGGACCAGGTGCTTCGACAAGAATCAATTATTGAACATAGGTTCAAATGGAGGAAATCCGGTTTTGCCAAATTGCTGTATCTGCCTCTAAAACCGAAGTAATTTTCGAATTCAGCAGCCAAAACTACATTTGAGGATACATTTGCATGCCTAACAAATTCCCTTATTTGTTCCTGAATACTGAGATTTTTCCGGTCAAATGTTAGCATGAAAATAACTTTTCTTTAGGTGTTTAGTGGGGTCTCTAACTTCTGCAGCTGAAGCCGAAAATAACCTTGGTTATTTCTGCGAGCACTTGCGGAAAATCAAGTTCCCGAAATGAAAAAGGCTTTTCGCACTGAAAAAAGTTTTGGAAATTCAATCTTCCGAAAATCTGAGAAGCGCTAGGAAAAAACAAGTTTTCGACTTCAACCGCAACAACTTGGTGGATGAAATACTACCAGAAATCTGATAAGTTTTTCCCCCATCCTTCTCGACGCTACACAGTCGGATGAGCTTTAAGTGGTGGTGGGCGATGGAGAGTATTTGACCAGAAAAATCTCAGTAATAGGAGAAAACTTGTTGAACATGCGATACATGTGTCCCGATGTATTGTTGGTTGCTGAATCTAAAAGACATTGGTTTTCTCCTGCACATATTTTCCGAAAAAGCTTAATTTTTGGGGTGAATTCTAATTTTTTCCGGAGAAACCGAATTGATCTAGAGAGATTTATGTCACTTTCAAAATCAGCGCGGCAAATGGTCCCAAGAATCGGGTATTTCACAACAAATCGACTCGTGTTGACCAGTGAAATGAATTGCACAACGGGATACTATTGTAGCATTCTTGAAACGTAAATACCATCAAATTTTTCAAAAGTTAATTCTTTTTGATTTACTCATATTTTTAAGTAGGTATACATTGAACACATTGATGATCAGAGTGCGAACCACAATCTTCCATTGCGGAGTTTCAAAATTTCCGCTCCTTTTTGACTTTTTAAAGAAGAGACAAGCCAACAATTCATAGCCTAAAATTTACACAGAATATTCTGCTAACATGAAGCCATCTATATGTGACGAAAATTTAGGGATTGCACCACTTAGAACTCTCGACGCTGCCATGATAGGTATTAGTTTGATGAGTTTCATACCGCTGACTTAACGGAATATTAGATGTATTTCTGCCAAACAGAATTATGCGGATTCAGACATGAGCCCTGCTAGCGCTAGGCCCATAAAAATATATGCATGACAGAGCTCACGTCATAATGCACATATTTCTGTTTGGCAGAAATACGTCCAGTTGATCTAAATTTTCTCTCAAAATCTATGAATTATTGACATTTTTGACAAAGATTCAGTTTCGAGTAGGGAGTAGGCAAATTATTTTGAAGCCATCGCAAAATTTTGGTTTGATCGAGATGGTTTGAGCCCTCCCCATCCATCCTGAACTTTAAAAGGCTCGTGATGACAAGGCGGGCTTACTTGAGCCCGAGGGGGCACGGGCACGGAGATAGAAGAGCAGCATGGTGGATTCACAGAGCTTTCCCTCGAGCAGGTGCAGAATTTCCCACGAAAGGTTCGCGGATCGATTCCGTCCGCAGCCGGTGAAAATCGGACGCCTCCCACTTTGTCGCAACAGTAACTTACAAATTGCTCCTCGACAGAGAATTCAAGTTTAATGGAACCGAGTTCACCAGAAAGGAAACAACTCGCATTGAGTTGAAACTGAGAAAAAGATGTTTGAAGTTTTATTCCTACATAAAGGCTCAATGTAAAAAATAGACTTTCACTCCTCTTGTCACAAACTAATATAATTTTTTCGACTTCCAGATTTTGGCAGGAGAAAATAAACGACTTGTGAAATTCAAAAACATTCTTCACGCATTTTTTTCGAAAATAAGGGATGGTTTCAGATGAATTCGGTTCAATTATGTAGTAAAGCGCGCTTTTCGCGGCATTCCTCTGTATTATGATATTGTCCGAGGGACAAGGTGTGAATTTGGGCTCGAAATTTTCTTTTCAGAATATCACGCAAAAGAGATTCACGAAACGGGACATTTAGAAATTAATTCCCGAAATATTAACAAAATATTAAATTTAACACTGATAAAATTGAAGTTAGATTATACAAATGACGTCATTTGTATTTTTGCAGTTAAACCAATGTTCATTGAGAAGCTTAGAAGACGAGTTTGATGAGTGCAGTTTTTGAAAAAATCGAGATATTGTTTTTCAGTTTATAGAGCGTAAGTACTCACAGAAATGACATGATTGATACCAACAAAATTTTACGGAAAAACATATGACTTTTTATTTGAAATTAACAACTGGAGATCGAAAATATTGAATCGAATTCAATACAGATAAACCTATATTTACATAGAAAAAACTTGAAACTTATCTTTACAATCTACGTTAAAATACAAATACACATTAATAATATATATAATAAAATAGAGATATGTTCGGAATGACTATGAAACACATTAAAGTAAATAAAAGCGTGATCGATAATATAAGAAAAAAATTAAATCGATCATAAATCATGTTACACGACCAAGATTTAGAGGCTGCGCTGTGTGCACAGTCATAATACAAGTTGATCTATGTAAAAATCTTCCTACTGAAGGAAAGGATCACATCTACTTTGCTCGGCTGTTTTAACAGACTATGGTAGACTTAAGTTTTGTTAAAAATACACGTTGGTTCCTACCTTTACGCAGGGATAGTTACACTCGCACCAAGAGTAAAAAAAGTAAACTATATCTTTGAATCTGCCCTGAAAAACATTATGATGACGTCGTCTAAATAATAATGTCCCTCAAGAGTATGACCAATGGTTGAACAGCGCGTAGAGTAGACGGTCCAATGCGCCAACATACTGCCAAAATTGGCAAAAGTCGTGTCTCGCTCTCCCGACGTCAGGACCTGCAACATACGCCGCGCCGTGACTTTCGCACCGATACAACTATTAAAGCTCTTCGGGGCCCATTTTGCCTACGTCTCTAAATGAAGGCTAAACACCATTTCCTTCCGGATGAGCAGTTAGGCGTCTTCAATCCTTCGGATAAGATTTCTCTGTTAATTTTCCGCATGAAATTAGTCGGCAAAACTTGTGTACGTTAATAGAAAATACATGTTTTAAACTATGCTTACACATCAAATTTTTGGTACGTAATCTGAACACGATTTAACAATATTGTGACTAGATGCCGCTTGGACTAGATTTGAATTTTTATTGCACTTACTTTGGTATCGTTGAGCCTCTTTTGACATGATTTACTGCAAAGAGAACGAAAGTATTCACACATTATATTAAAAACAAATAAAATCAAAGGGAATGCCTTTCGTGCATATCTTTTGTTCTGCTGTACCTTCATTTATAGACAGAATTGAGGAAAGGAGGATATTGATGAATTCTGATAAAAATCTATCTATGATGGCATACCAGCCGAAGATGACTCTAAATAGAGCAATAAAGCACCAATAATTTCGGTTTTGCAGCCATCTTAGTCTCGTCATTTTTAACACCCTGTATATTGTCCAACCCATACGAGGACTTCTCTCTCTATGTCCGCGACGGCATGTAGGTATTGCGTCAAGAATTTTCGAAAAGATACTATCGTTTCGTAGAGGAAAAAAAGAAGGTGTTTGCATTTCGGGCATCTTCGAATTTTTTTGATGACGTAGGTCGGTACAGCGACGTTTATCGTCGATTTTCTTGGAAATGGTGTAATTTATGGAAAAAAGTCATTCTATAAAACAGGCTTGAAATTATATCATGAGTTGATTTAAGCCAAAAAATGGGAAATTATGGTCCGTTTTTCATACTTCGAATTCCGGATTTCGCTGGCCAGGTTGTACCGACCTACGTCACAGGGTACACAATCCTCAAGATGCAAACACCTCTTTTTTTTCTCTATGCTATCGTTTATCCCTAGTCTGCCTGAGTGGGGTCAGATTGGCCCCACGGGTGTTTCAACTCTTTGCCATTTCTCGTGGTATGCACGAAATTTTTTGTCCTTCACAGATAGCTCTACAAAAACATCAAGGAACACGATTTTGAAGGGGGGGGGGGAAATGTGCATGAGAGATCAAAAAATTCACGAGTACCCCTAGAAAGCCTGAGCAGGGTCAGATATCCTTATAACATATATTTTACCATTTAGCATCACAACAGCTTACTTTGAAGGTGTATTCATTTTTCTCTTTTTAATTTTTTTCAGAAACTTATAAAACAAGCACAATTTTTCAGATTTTTTTCGTTTTCAGTATTTAGTAGCCCTATGTTTTTTTTTTTCTCATGTAAGATAAAATGGTTGCATACCCTGCGCCGTGTTTTTTAAAACTTTATGCTATATGCTTTATGGTTAAGGCCTGTAAGGTTAGTGCACTGATATTAACTAAAAACATGAAAAAAACATAGCTAACTAATTGATTTTCAGCTGGGGTCAAATTGACCCCGCTCAGGCTTTCTCGTTGGTTCAGAGGCTCAGGCAGACTAGGGTTATGCTCCGGACAAACATGATGCATATCGATCACTTCCTTTTTCGACCATCGGAATAGACTACGTTCTGCCTGTGACGTCGGTCTTAATCCACCGATTCAAAGTCACATCCCTTGTGCTTTCACGAGAAGGAGTTAGAGTTTGAGTCGGGGCTCTTGGTGTTTGGCGGAGGTATCTCGGGAGTCCAAACCTTGGCAAACATGACACCATTGCAGCCATTCTCCTTGTTGCTCGACCATGAGAGAGAGTGGGCTGCGTAAGGGGATCCATACGCACCTGAGAACAAGCAAAATTAATATTTTTTGAACTGTGGAAATGCAAAGAATAACGGACCGACAAACATGAAACGTTAACAAAAATATTCTGTATAGTAGATCGTGCTTCTAGTATATCGAATCAGGAAAAGCTGAACCGCCATCGAAAGTACCTCCATGAATGGAGAATTTGCAGGTGGCTGATATTGTGTGAACTTTATGTTTAAGAAGAAATTACTTAGGGAACTGAGCGTGAGAATATCCTTGATTTCTAATAAATGAACAGTTATTACAAGATTTATGACCATATGGACTATTAATGCTAATAGAAACTATGTGCTTAAGCTTTGCAAGCGATATAGTTCCTTCTAGCATAAATACGTCCTAAGACCTAATGTGCTAAAATACATACATTCAAATAGGAAATTCCGCCGTCACGTTCGTGACGTCACATAGCGTGAGATTTTCTCACTTTAAAATCTATTTTCCTGCAATTTCTCACTTCGGGAAATATCGTAAAGAATACTACGAACGCAACTCGCCGACCACTCTCAGATACAGCAATAACATTCTTTTTGTGCTAATGGAGAATTTGCATGCAAATGTTTTATAGTGCTTAAAGAGCTGATTTCACGGTATTTTTTATAATTTTTTTCTGTTATGGGACATGGTATAAACATAGATTTAAAAGTAAGAAAATGCACCGCCTAGTGACTTCATCTGGCGGCATTTCCCATTTAAACACACATATTTTAGCAGATTAGATAATTTTGTCATATCTTCTCCAATAATTGTTCAATTCATGAACCAAGGGTATCCTCGTGTTCAGTACACTCACATTCAGTAGTTTCCACTTAAACACGAAATTCATCTGATTTCAGACACCTGCAAATTCTCTATCCTCCATTGACACCAAATATACTTTCTAACCTTGGGCTTCAATACGGAAGGTGCATGGTCAAATTTTCTTCTTTTAAAAATATATTCAGTCAAGCTGGTGTTTATCAGGGCCATAACCATAACCTGTAATTAATCGAACAAGTGCCCTCGCGTTCGACTATCAAGGGTTGTTCTAGTAAGGAACCGCATTGTTTTGGGCCTAATATGACTATTATTGCGAGTTGCAAGCGAGCATGACGAATGATAAGCGTTATGTCACAGGGGGCGTAATGTCAAGCGACGGTACGTTCCGCTTTGCTGGTTTCAGCTGTATGTTCACCACAAACCGCTCCCCTCCCTTTCATTCCCGCCTACCACCCCAGTCAACCCCGATACTGATCACTCCCCCACGAAAATTGACATGACTGTCGATCATCTGCACGTCCTTTTGTGCGGTAAGTTTCCGAAAAGTTCGCACCTGCTGAACGATAATCGTCTATGGAAATTTGAAGCAATGAAAACAAATTGGAATTTGTTTTCTCCTTGATTGACTCTGTTTTTTACCGGGTATTCTCAAAGTTTCATTTATTTTGTAAATTGCATAAGTATACATTTACAAAATTAAAGGAGTATCTACATGGCTTTGTTTTGCTTCCCTCTATATACTACATGGTGAAATTAAATTGAATTACAGCTTGGAATATTATTAATTTTACAAGTTTTACCGGGTATTGGACTCACTGAAGAGATTTTTTTTTCTCGAGACATAATTTTGACGTGAAGCGTTGTTCCTTGTCGACAAAATTTTTTGGTTTTCTTAAGTTAATTCTTTTTTGGATTAAAGAAACGTTGGTTTGTCATCGGTTTTTTAACTTAAACTTAACGATAACAAAACGACGATTTTTTACCTAGACAAGACTGGCCCTAAATTAAACCCGCACCGATTTAACCCCCCAAAAAACCGAATTTTGTCGAAGAAAAACGACGTTTTAGGGCAAAATAATATCTCAAGAATTTTTTTTTTTAGTGATGCTATAAGGAACTATGTTACACGCAAACCCTAAGTCCGTAATTCTGTTTAGCATAAATACGTCCGATTGTGTAACTTTACCTTTATTTCACACGATCTCAAATGCACATACTGCCCTGGAATTTTTGGAGAAAACATAAGGAAAAAAGGTGCATTCATTGCTTTAATTTCTCGTAAAAACGAAAGAAAAGATGCACCTTTGTGAAAAAATGTCATCTGATATCCGCACCTTTCCCTTGTGTCCTTCAAAGATAAGGTATTTTGTTCTAGATGTTACGACGCACCTTGCAAAAACTCGCTTAAATATTTCGTAATTTTCAAGTCAACCACTTAACTTTTTTCTTCTTTTTTTTTTTGAAATTTTAAAATAATTTTCCTTTTCCTGATCAAATTAAATCTCGGTTCGCGAAAGAAAACAGTAAAACGAGCGTATATACAATTTCATTTTCAATTGTTAAGTTATGGGTAGCTGCGTTTGTTGTCGTGCAATCACCAGAATGCCGCGCCGCGTCGCGACATTGCATCGACCGCTTCTGGGGAGAGTAAAATCAAAACAATCCCACGTTTCACGGCTTAAATTTAAATTTTCTGAAGTATTATTTTAAAAACCGCCGAATTCAGAATATAAAAACAACTCGACTCAAGAGGGCCGATTGCTATGCTCTGTTTGCGAGTTATGTTGCACAACACTCACAGCGATGCACATGCATTCCGTGCCTACAGATTAATCGTATACACATGCACACGTGTCCGCGTGTACCTAGTCCCATGAAGGGCCCGCCATGGGCTAAGGGTTAGGTGTTGCGCTTAGGGCGGTGAACAATTGTTTGTTAGTGTTCGACTCATCTTTGGTTTCGGGGGGGTCCCTCAGTGTGATCTGAAAGCGACGCTCAGTGAGTTCCATTTAGGAGGGTAAAAGGGAAACCTATCCTTTATCCTCGGTTGGCCTTAGGAGGATGAGGCTGTGGTAGGGGAATTATTCTTTTGCATGCGTCACGCAGTCAGTAGGATCAGGCAATAAAAGCAATAACAATAAAAAAAAAAATAAAAAAATCTAGAGAATATTTCGTACGTTGAAAATCTCATTTTATGATATAACATGCGCTTTGACTCAACTGCGAAAGAGGACAATGACGGTTGTGTCGGAGAGAGCTTAAAAGTGCTGTGAGGAGACAAATAATTCGATGGCCAAAAAGCAAAATCACGCATTTCCATTGCGGCGTTTCAAATTTTCCGCTCCTATAGTTTATTCTTTCAAGGAGCAACAAACTGACCTAATGGCTGAGATTCACACGAATATTCTGCTAATGGGGAAGAAAAATCAAGGAGGTTTGCAAGGAATTACGTTTATTAGTTTCCGAAAGAAAAAATAAAGTATGATAGAAAGTCTACTGCGTCGCAAACGGAGATACATTGTTCTACATGTTAGCCATAGATGTGTATGAACGCACATTCAGAAAAATGATTTATGCTACTTTTGTAACATTATCGATCAATGATAAAAATATAACTATATTGTTAGTTATGGCTACAATTATTTGCAAGCTCATTCGGAACACCTATATATTTGCGCAATCGTAACAACCCATTTGCCTGTGCGTATTACAGTTCCAATGAAGAATCTCTTAAATTGTCATTTCTTTCACGAAAGAACGTAACTATAATTCAATGTTGCTAAATTTTTTCCGCAATTTTACCAGAAAAAGTTAAGGTGTTTAAATTGCAAATTTCAATGATTTTTCTTCTAATCTGATACAAAATCAGAGGAACGCCTATACTTGAGCAATCGTAACAACCAACGTTTTTCTGTGTATTAAAACTTCGATGAAGATTCTTTCAACTTGTCGATTCTTTCACGAAAGAACGTAATTATATTTCAATCTTGCCAAATTTCCTCCTTAAATTGCACTTTTACGAGAAAAAGTTCTAGAATTAAAAATTTTACTAACTTTTTCTTCTCATTTCATGGAAAAATCAGAAACACTTTCAACAAAAATTGCGCAGGTTCATTCCTGTGAAAAAATTAAATTGTTTGAGTCAATTTTGCAACCTAGGCATGGATTTCATTTTGAATTTATCTGGAGTATATATTATTTTCTTCTTGGTTAAAAATTCACAAAAACCGAAACGTTTATCAGTGTGCGACGGCGCAACTTGCCCGACATTTACGTCTCTCGATCTGCAAGAGAGGATCCCTCTCTTCGATCGCTGAATCCCCTCCCCGGAACTTTTAATAGTTTCTGTTTCACACCCTTGTTTTTCTACACTCATCTCTTCCCCATTAGTACGCCCCTCCCTTCTTTCACCCTCCTTTCGCTCCGGCCCGCGGTGCATTTTGTTATGCGAGGTGCCGTGAATTAGACAAATGATTCTCCACGATGCTCCGAGAATAATGTCTTCATTAGGTCATGAATCTGCATGGCCGCAGGGCGTGCGGTTATCAATCCATTGATGATCGACAACAAGGACATTGTGTAAGTGAGGAAGACGGAGGCAAAAGCGTTACCAGAACCAGTTTAGCTTCAAGTGCACGGGGAAAAATTTAGAGTTTACTTCGGTTGATGATTTGCACCACAGGCAAATTGGTGTATCACACTGCCGCGCTAAGGAAAACCGCCGTATGAACCTTCAGGCGTTGCCAAATTTCCTCTTATGAATCACGAATTTATGGGAATATTTATAAACATTTTTCTTTCGATTTTTCAGAGAATTTCGTTCGTAATTTGATCCAAATACTGTAAAAATTTCGAGGAAAAATATTGATAACTTTCCTAAAAATGAACATTTTATCGAAGGAAATTTTGCAACTCTCGAACGTTTATACGGCGTTCTTCCTTAGCACGGCAGCACACCTACTCAATTGATGCGAGACTGCGAAAATTCACGTGCACTTAAAATTCTTCGTTTCCCGGATAAAGGAACGTAACTTCATTCCAAGATTTTAAAATTGATTCATAAACTTCAATTTTTTACAAGAACGTGCCCGCGCAATTTGTGTTGAAATTTGTTTAAATTTTGCATGGGATCAGAGGAAAAAACAATGATTTTTGGTTAGGAATTTTCAAGATTCTCTTAGCGAGAATGCAATTTGCGGGGGAAATTCAGCAACATTGTAGTTACGTTTTCTCGCGAGGGAAACGACGAATTGTGACAGAGTCGAGCAAAATGTGCCTTGAGGCGAAAACTCAAATTGTTTAGCAAACCTAAAAACCAAATTTTGGATAAAAATATAGATGTCTAGTTTTTTTATGCTAAACACTCCTATACAATCAAGCAAAATACTTTATCGCTATACGGCATGTTAAAAGCAGGAAATAAGTTTGTTGAGCGAAAGTCTCAGTGAAAATTTGCCGAATGATGGGTTTATTTTTTATGAGCGATTTGACTTACGTTTTTGGGGTTTTTTTCCGCGAGCGGAAAGTTTGAATTCTCTAACATTTTTGTAAACAAGAGACGCTAATGTCTCATTCGTGTGTTGATTTTGAATATCTATGGTATGTTTGATGTCGTTCGAATTAAATTTTGATTAAAAAATATGTTCTGCGGTGCTTAAATTCTCACCCCGTCTGATGGTCCATTGGTCATGGCGAACCAGAAACGCGTACGTCTGATTCGTGTGTTGACTTTGAATATTTATGCCATTTTTGATGCCTTTTGATTAAACTTTTGATGAAAAAAGATGTTCTGCGGTGCTTATATCCTCCTCATCCCGTCTAATGGTCCATCGGTCATGGCGAACCCCTGGCCCTCAACATCTCCACTCGATCCCACGGTTTTATCCTCCCCCGAGGGATGGTATTTAATTTGCTTCCACCTCCACCGCTACTGCATCCCTCACTCGATGTCATTTTCCCACCGGCGGAGCATAATTCACGGCGCCCAGGTGAGCGACCGACAGACAGAAGATGATTTGCGCGTCTAATTTATCATAACTATGAGTCCTATCCGAAACGGGATGTGGAGTAGTGAAGAGCAGGCTTTCCAGACAAGCGGAAATGGGGCGTTAAAACAGGGGTGGGTGGATTGGATACTAGCCTCCACCTCCACCTCCCCCGGTCCTGATCGGTTCCGGGTCACGAGAGAACCACACCTGTAACTCCGCTGAGCGAACAGGATGCCTAGCTAATGATAACAGCTTGACCGACGGCGACCTGATGTGAGAAAGGGGCTACGGGCTGATTGATGAAATTTATAGACAAAGCGATAGACAAAGAAGGAATAGGGAGAATGGAGCGATCCTACTGGTTTAAATGGGTGGTGCCTGTGGACTAAGGGAGAAAATTATGGACTATAACTATACACTGGAAAAAAAAAGTAGCTTGGATCAAGCATGATAATTCTTGAATTTGCCGCCAAGAATGTTCTTTATCTTGCTTTAAGCTGACTTCTTCTTGATCCAAGAAAAATAATGCTTGGGTTAAGCAAAAAAGTAGCTTATATTAACCAGCAAAATTCTTGATTTAAGAAGAAATACTTCTTGGCGGCAAAAAGATTCTTTTTTTTTTCCAGTGAGGGTCTTTCGTGGGTTGCCGTTAGTTAGTCTATTTCTTACCTCCTCTGTCCATTGCAACCACCCGCTTCCACCAAAGGATCCCTCCATATCCTTCGTGTCTTCATTGTCTATCGCTAGGTCTATCAATTTCAACAATCAACCCGTTACGACTGCCTGCTTGGGGTTGAAAGTTTTGGCGTCGAAGTATCATGATAAGATGGATTACATTTTGCAATAAGGAACTACTATCTCTGGCTCTTCCATAAAAGCGCGTATCTGCATTGGGAAATCAATGGCATATATGTTGTTTCTAAAATGAGCCAGAAATAGTGGTTCCTTATTGCAAAATGTAATCCAGATATACTATTTAAATTAAATTTAATGATTGGGCAAATCTTAGTTTCCAACTGTTTATCAAACTTAAAAAATGTCTTAGATAAAGTCTGCTCGATGATAAAACTTTAAATAGGCTGCAGTAAAATAATATACAGTACATAGAGTCGTAATGTAAATTGGAGAGCTGGCGCCATGTGCTGGTCGACGAGTTCCGGGCCCGGTGTGCGCCGAGCTTCGGTCACTTTTTCGATACATGTTCGATCCAAGATGGCGGTGTGGAATACGTCACAGCCAAGCTCACTTCATTGTACAGGGTGATCTAGGGTTAAACGGCCAGACTGCAGGAGCCGAAACACCCCCAAACCCCCTCTTTAAATTGAGATTTCGATTGTTTTAGGTAATTTATGAATTCAGGGCATAGAAGTACAAAGGAGTACAAATTTTCATTAGTTTTGGTTCACAACCGTTGCAGGATTCAGGAAAAACGATTTACTTTCCGAAATTTGGAGGGGGGGGGCGTAGCTCTGAGCGGGGGCACATTTGGAAAAAACTTTACAGCAAAAAAAGTCTTATTTTGACCCATGGAGCACGCTCCTGCAGTCTAGCCTTTATGCCCTGGATCACCATGTATTACGACTCTATTATATGTACTCTACGAAATTGAGGCACTGGATGCGAAAAGGGCATTTCTCAGTTGCAGTGTTTCAGAGTCTCATTTAATATTTCATTCATTGTAAGGAAAGTGAATGCATCCATTTCACTAAAAATTTTACTGAATATTCCTTATGATTCTACAATTTTCTATGGAAAGAATTGTGGAAAAATTACCCATTGAATTCTTCTCCGAGGGACTAATTCGCAACAGAGATTCTGAAACTTCGCAATCGAGAAGTGCCCTTTTCGCATCCAGTGCCTCAATGGAGATGTTGCATGTGTGAGGAATTTGCAATTTGACTGTTGATTCTTGCGTAAAAGTTCGCGAGAAACACAATGGTGCCACTGGTTTTCTCTGAATTCAACTCCCAAGCTCAAAAAAAGCTCTCAAGTTGAGGCCAAAATGGAGGGAATATCCCACCCTACCCTGAGAGTCCACGTCTACATCAAGACCAACTCTCCATGCAAGGATAGGGAGCAAATACATTAGCAGGGTTGCCGTGTTTTCAGTTTTGGAGTGTTCAAATAAAGTGGCAGCCCTGTCAATGTATTTGCTCCCTATCTTTGCATGGAGAGTTTGTCTTGATGTAGAAGTGGACTCTCAGGGTAGGGTGGGATATCCCCTCCATTTTGGCCTCAACTTGAGAGCTTTTTTGAACTTGGGAGATGATTTCAGAGAAAACCAGTGGCACCATCGTGTTTCTCACGAACTTTTACACAAGAATCAACAGTCAAATTGCAAATTCCTCACACACGCAATATCTCCATTGGAAGGGCTCTAGTATTGTTTTGAACTGACCTCTGATGATAATTTTCTTCGGCTCCTCCTTGGTGGGCTGTCGGTGGAGCTTGGAGCCGGGCTGGAGGCGGACGCCCTCGGCGGAGGCGGCGCCCCGGTCGGAGCGGACGAGCTCGGTGAGGAAGTTGATGTAGCCGATGGCCAGCTTGAGGGTGTCCACCTTGGAGAGGCGCTTCTCGTACGGGAGCGTCGGGATGTGGGCGCGGAGCCCCTCGAAGGCGTCGTTTATGCTCTGCATCCGCCGCCGCTCCCGCAGGTTCGCCGCCTGCCGCTGCTGCATCTGCTGCTGGGGACACTTCCCCCGGCGACGCCGCATCCGACCCGCCCCTGAAACATCCACGAACACGATCCTTGAAAACGCTCATCGAAAAATGGAGTGCATTTTGCAAAAAGGAACCACTAGCATTGCAATGATACTAAGATTGTGCAACTTCATCTTTTGCAATAAAATTGCGGAAATTGTGAAAAACAATGAAATTTAGATGGTAATTTTTGTTTTAAATTTACAGTTTTTAGCGAGTAAAATAGAAACTATTGAGGGATAATCGGGGTTTTCCTCCAAGACAAAAGAAGTTGCATAATCTTAGCAACATTGCAATGCTAGTGGTTCCTTTTTGCAAAATGCAATCCAAATCAATGCAGGGTCATTATTGAAATTGGTAAAAAACAATAGACAAAGAGAATATGGAGCGATTCTATCATGGGCTGAACTAGAAATTTTCTGTGGGGGGCACAGAGGGATACAGAACTACTGCTAAGGGGGTCTAGAGGACCCTCCAACTACAGAGGGGGACCCGAAAATTTTTTGAAAAGGAGGCCCAAAGTAGCAGAGGTTGCAACAACTTGCAACAAAATCGTTTGGTTATTGCAACTAATAGATTGATGTGCAGATTGCCTACTCTCTCCCCGAAGGAGCTATCATTGTTGCAACTAGTTGCAATTAAGTTGAAACATGTTTCAACTTCAAAGTATTGCTGGTTGCCCATCTTCCGATTTTAAACAATTTTGGTACAGCAATCTTGCAATCTTAACAGGTTGCAACTTTGTCTTCCGATCGGATCGCCGAAAATCGGCACTTATCGACCATAGGTTGACCGAAAGTTTCAACTTAATACCAACATTGTTTCAACTTCTTACAACTTTTACATGGAAAAATGCTACTTGGGGGGGGGGGGGGGTTATCCATAAGGGCTGTTATTGGGCCCACTCTAGCTGAAATTCCTCAACTCTACGATTTTTCCGCGCGTCGAGGGTCTATATTTTACAGAATGCATCATGATTTGGTCATTTCCAGTCTCTTTACAGGTCTGATTTGGGCCTAAACATGGGTCTGAAGACCGATTCCGGTGAAAAATGCGGAATCTTGGGCATTCGGTCGCAAACCCGCAAAACTCATATTTTTGTCCGGAATCGGACCCTAGACACCCTTTAAGGACAATATCGGATCCGAAAAGAGACCAGAAATCACCAAATTATGATGCATTTAGCAAAATATAAACCATTAACGAGAACAAAATCGAAGAGTTGAGGAAATTCAGGGTGGGCCCGAAAGCGGCTATTATTGATATCGATAAAGTTGCTATCGACGTGTCTCGAGAGCAATTTAAAACCATTCTCAATGACGGATTGAATGAAATAGAATAATTACAGATGGCAGAGATTTTGCAGATTTTTTTTTGATTTTTTTTCCCTCCCTAAAAAAATACCATGACTTTAGAAAGGTTTTAATTTCATCTATCTTAATCATCTCTCATAAAAATAAGTATTTCGCTAAAATGTAAATACAATAAATTTCAGCGCAAGACTTTTTTTCGTCAGAACGTAGCAATATTATTCGAGGCTTTTACAATGAGAGGCCACAACCGGACAGTACAGTCAAACTGAACTCCTTAGTGCTTTGCTGAAGAAAAACGGAAACAGCTCTCCGAGAAAAATCGCCATCTTCTGACATTTTTTGTCGATTATAATAGGATAGAGTTCATATTTATTACATTTCCTATGCTTTTTTTCCAAAACTATAATCACTAGACTGGGGGCCCTTGACATTTTTTGGTGAGGGCCGAGCAGAACACAACAGAAAATTTCCACAAACTTTAAAAACGAAATGATCTCTGAAGCCCAATTCACGCTATCAAACTTTTCGTCCGACATAATTGAACGAAAAGTTGGATGGAAAGTTGGACGCAAAAAAGTTTGATTCAATATCTTCGGCTCATGTCCGTCGGAAGATTTCGCTCCAACTTTTCGCTCAATTTTTCATCAAATTGTCGTTTTCTCTCGTCAGTATCGCACTATCCAACTTTTCATTCGACAAGTTGGATCCAAGAGTTTGGTGAAAAGTTTGATAGTGTGGATTGGGCTTAAGCAGTAGAAAAAGAAATTCCCAGTTTTTGGAATAAAACTTCCTGCTTTTTCCCTTACATTTTTCATTCCATAGCGAGTCTTGGTTATCCCGGTCCTAGACACCATGTATAAAATTTTACATACCTGCTGCAAAGTCCTGGTCGCTGGCGCAAGAGTAGGTAGTCGAGCAGTCCGACTGGTTCGAATCCTCGTCGTAGAGGAGCAAGTCCATGCTGCTGCAGCTGCTACCGCTCCCGATGAAGCTGTGCGACTCGTATAAAAGGTGTCGTGTGTCCCCGTCCATCGTGTCCACGCAGTTGGAGGAGTACATCTCCGCTAGTCCTGCTACCATTCGACGAAAGGGATCACTCCCAAGAAGAGAAAATCACCGAAGGAGTAAACCGCAAGTTACTTCTCCAAGTTCGCAATCGAGGACTCACCAATTTTATTCCTCGAATCGATCCTAAAATTGAATCTAACTTGGATGAGATGCTCAGCTTAGATCTGATCGAAGAGGTCTGTAAGAGGATTTTTGTCACCTTGTCTCAATCAAATCGGTTTCATCCGACATTCTTGTCGGGTGGTGTCAACTTCGAATATGCTCCTGTATTCTTTACATTTTCAAGGCCAAAAATGGCTGAGCGAGAAATAATTGTGACTCCGCAAATTTAATTTGGCTGACCGGGAAAATTGATACGGGTCAAATCTGTGTAATCTATATGTCAGATGTTCGTCACAAGCAATTGTTTTTCTGGTCTTCGTACGAATGTTTTTTCTGCCTCGTACTTCTCTTTTATTTACATCGAGGGGTTTTGAAGTAAATTTGGAGATTTATCTCGGACACTTCATTTGCATGGATGAGAAATTATACTTCAAAATGCGAATACGCGAGCTAAAAATTTATAATTTCATCACGTTTTAAAACAAGTGCAAGATCCTTCGGTAGCTCAAAACATATTTACTTTCTCAGAATTCATGGTGCAGTCGCGAAAGGGCATCCAAAGGGCTGGCAATCGTGAATAAACACGAGATTAACACTTAACACTTTGTTAAGTGGCCTTACACACTTCCGCCACACGTGTCCGGCCCGTAGCTATGATTGGTGACACGTGTCGTACACGCGACTCCATCGCCGCACGTGATCACACTAACAGAGGCATCATTTCAAAATGTTATTGTAGAGATTTGTGCACGCCCGGAGGTGTGCTTAAAAATCAGATTTTTTTTCAAACCTCTGAAAAATATCAGAGCCTGACTTAGATAAATTCCTGTTTTTCAGGTTTTTCCACGAGACGAAGTGTTATGCATTCACGGTAGCACACGCGATTTTCCAGAAATGAATTAAGAGGTTCACATCCAATGGCACATATCTGATAAATTCCTTCACTGTGGTTGTTGACACGATTCTGAGTTTTCAGAACCATGAGATTTTACGAACGAGGCACACTATTTGGATTCACGTAAAGGTGGTCTCTTACACTGACTTGATATTTTTATCGAGAAACGGTCGTTAAAAATTCTTAATTTTTGTTATACACTTGTTGATAAACTGTGCGATTGGCTCGGAAACAATTTTAACGGATGAATCGTTTCAATTAGCACAATCGGGTACCCACGATGTTGATTTTACTTATAATATCACATGGCACTGATTCGGATAGTTTTAAAAAAATTTCAAGATATTTTTTGGAAAAAAGGGGGCTCAAATAATAAGATTAAATTTAATTAAATGTCATAAAAATTAGCGCTTAAAATTTGAACTACGCATGAATTTCTGCACCGAAATTCATCTTAGATTGCACACAAAATTCAACGTCCGTTTAGCACCGGATGCTGTATATTCGCACGAAAATACACTTTTCTTCTGAGAATTCGGTAACTTAAATGCTCATGCTATAAACGGTTGCCCGTTTAATTGTGACGGTGTCTTCAATTATTCATCTGAAAATTCAGCGTTTTCACGGTATCGATGGACACTACCACGATTGCAACGAGGGCAAAAGTTAGACTGAGCTTTATTTGGGAGGGCTTGGGCTCTTATCGCTCGGCAACCCACCCTCGAGGGGCGGCGCCCGAACGGGAGGGCGGTGTCTCAGAGAACTCTCATTGGTCCGTTCCGTGGGGATTACTTTGCCTCACCTCCTTCGAGCTTCCATTTTGTGGGATGGCTCGATACTTGTTTTGTTTTTAAAAGTTTAATTTGTTATTTTCATGGTGAAGGATAGAAACGTTGAAAGTGCGAAAAAAGTTTCTGGCTCCCGTTTTAGCAACATAGTTTTGTAGTGATGCACAATATACCCTGGAAAAAACACATTGGATCTAGAGTCCAGACTATTAAAAACATCGACAAGCAAAATTACTCTTGTTTAATCAGATTTAAGCTTAAATCAAGAACCAAGCCTCTTAATTTGAGCGGATTTCCTTAAATCTGATTGAATCAAGAGTATTTTTTCTTGTCAATGTTTTCAAGAGTCTGGACTCTAGATCCAATGTGTTTTTTCTTTCCAGTGTAAACAAGGTATTGAGCCCACTTGCAGCGTTGCTCGTAAGAAGTAGCGAACGAGAAACTACATTTAGACAAGATTTCAGAAAGTTGGGGGAAATGACATCATCCAGCCGACACTATGAATAATTCCGTAGGCCCTATTCTATGCGTCAAAATTCAGCGACGCCGGGCCGATCCGTGCGCGGGTGGTAACGGCTTGACCGTTCCGGTCCTCCGATGGCGGGAAAAATATAGAGATCGGACCGCGGACGGCGGACTCGGCCCCCCTTGCGCCCTTGGAAAGATCGGTTATCCAGATAGTCTCTTCGGGAGATGCGCGGTTTCTCGTCGTTTTCGGGCGCTTTTTTCCGGGTAGCTGGTAGTTCGGCTGCCCGAGGTGGTTGTTTGCATGGAAATCGCCGCATGGGTGATGGATTTTCGGTGGAAGAGTACCTCAAAATTGTACGTGAATAAACGATATTCGCGCAATAGCAAGTTCAGAGATCAACTTTGAACGAGATATGAACAAAGCGATGATCAAAAAGCGAAGCCACGGATCTCCTTTTGCGACGTTGCAGAAGCAGACTCCGGGCACACTCAACGCAATTTAGTTAAATTATCATAATTTTTCTTCTCCTCCGGCAGAATATTCTGCATATATTTCAAGCAATAAAGTTAGCTTCTTTCTCATTTAAAAAAAAACTGAAAAAAATGAGTAAACAAAAGGCTGGAAAATATCCGCAATCCTTCGATCCCAAGATTGCAGGCTCGCGGTGTGAACACCAGTATGGCAACGAGGATATCCTAACCCTACACTAACTCCTAACCGTGCGGTAATAACGTCTTTTATGAACAAATTCAACCTTTCTGCTAATGGAAGAGAGAATTTACTAGGGTTAAATTGCACGCCAAACGTTACTATGACAGTCTCAGTAATATGAAAATATGGCAACATCAATCTTGACGCTATGATCAAGCTGTACACACTTTGAATTCAGTTCCCGAAACCAATGAACAATAAAAACGTTAATAGCTTAGCTATAGAAGTTGATTTCAGTAGTTTTCGTTGAGCGAGTCATGTTCTGCATGAAATGCTGTTGAAGAATCATGTATCAGAGTGCTCAAATTCTTAACTTATTTAATGGGCCATTCAATCTAAAAAAGCGAACATAGAAAACTTTTCTAACTTTTCTCAGAAAAAATGTTTCATCGGGAGAAACGAGGCAACGTTGGACTGCTCATATAGCGTCGAAACACAACATGGGATATTTAAGCCCCACTTTCGATGCCGCGATTATCCTAACGCGAGTTCGAATTATCGCGCCGAACACGGTGTGGTCGGTGTCAAACTCATATCAGCGCCTGCAAGACTGTGGGAATGCCTTACGCATTGCGCCAAATAGTGCTGCGGTCGGCGGCACGCATATTAGCGCCTACATGACTGCATGAATGCTTCTCGCATTGCACCAAACACGATGCGAGAGTTATTTGCGATAACTGTATACTCGACCGACCAAGCGCCGTGAAATTGAGCTGAACAATCGATAGTTCCATACTGTATTGAATGACAAGGATATCAAACAGTGGCGTGGCGTGAATTGCGATATATCGATTGTTATGCCATTTAAACCTATGGAAAAATATCGATTATCAGGGCGTTCGCAGCGAACACCTTAGTAATCGATTCTTTACTATGGCTTCAAATGGCGATATATCGATAATCGATCCTTCACGCCACGCCACTGATCAAATCAGTCTGTTAATGTTAAATCTATATTGTTTTTTCAACTATAATATTACTGAACGTTTTATTGCGTATTTTTAATTACCTAAATCTTTTCTCTTATACTGCAGGTATCTAATCCTCTTCAGTTATGGCAAGGGCAAGCTCTGATATGCGCTTAGGTCAAGAGGAAAACTCAAGTGGATCAGAGGAAGGTGATGTGCAGACTGATAGTGAATCTGATGACAACGCTACCATACAAATTGAAACAGAAGAAAGTGATAGTGTTCAAAATTAAAGCACGGATGAATCTGACCCCGGTGCATCACCTAAACACAGGAGGAAGAGAGGTAAACGGAATAAAAGTTCTAAGAAAAGGATAAGTTCTAGGGGGAAAAATACTCTCACGAGAAATCTAAGAAAACAAATGCTATGTCAAGTTCAATAGGCACAGGCAGGGCCGGATTTACCTATGGTGCATCGGTGCAGCTGCACAGGGCACCAGATTTTGGGGTTTTTTTTCCTAACTCTGCAAAAAATTGAGAATTGCGTCGAAAGTTCAGGAACTCTGATTCTTGATTGATTGTATAAAGGCAATGGAGACACAGAAAAGAACGGCGAGACAAGGTTGCGAGGCGGCTTGCCTCGTGTCACGACGATTCATCTGGATTTTTAGTTTCCAACAAACGCGGAGGAATCTATCCTAACGTCTTTATAGCTCTGACAATTTACTTGTGTGCACCCGTGACCAACTGCACAGCGGAGCGGTCATTTTCTGCCCTTGGACGCGTGCTGAATTACTTGCGTACATCACAGGAGCAAGACAGGATGGTTAATTTGGCCATCATGGTCATAGAAGCAGACATCACCATTTGTTTGAATTTCAAGGACGTTAAAGAGGAATTTGCCCGGGTTAAGGCAAGGCAGAAAAAGTTCTAGCCTTTTCTTCTCCAAAGCCTCGGTGAACAATCTAGAAGGTTTCTTTTCTTTCGAACTCCACGAATTTGCTTTGTCTATTACTATCTGACTATCTTGTAAGTTATTAACTAAACAACATTAACAATGTAAATATTGCATGTTATTACTCCATATGTGCCTGTGCATGCATATGAAATGTCTATTTTTGTCCGACCAGAATTTTCTTCTGCAAAATTACATCAGAGAACCATTAATTTATTGCGTTCCATCTTTTAAATGACCTGACCCTAGACTTTAAGGGTCAAATTTTCTCTTAGTTTCGTAGTTAACAGTAACAGGAACAGGTACCTGGTTTTGGTCTCTACCTCAGAATCATTCACTCACTCGAAAAATTCGTATTTAGTTAGAGTTAGCACGTAGTAACCAAAGAAAACCGTCGGGTTGGGAAATGCGCGGGCGGGGGGGCGCCTCTAAAATTTCTGCACAGGGCGCCAAAAACGTAAATGCGGCCCTGCGCACAGGTATCAAATTTCGTGGGAAACTCATGACAGTTTCAAAAGCTGGGTTAAAAGAAGTTCCAAAGGTCAAGCTTACTTTTACTGCACGGCGTGCAAACAAGATTATTCCTGTCAAGGTGGCTCTAGTATTTTAGAAAGGCATGTTCTAAGTAAGAAGCACATACTAAATATTGGTGCGATTCAAAACCAACGGTCTATTTTTGAAATGCGGCAAGTAGCCCAGCAAACTTCGCAAGAAGTAGCTAAAGAAAAGAGCTAAGATTGTGATTGCATTATTTATGGCAGAACATAATATGCCCTTCAATTCTGCTGATCACCTTGTCATAGCCTTATAAAAGCTGTTGCTCCAGTTGCTGAAAGCATCTCTTATGACCGAACTAAAAGTACTAAAATTTTAACAAATGTTGTCTCCAAAAATGTAAATGAGACTCTAATTAAAATTCTCCAGGCCCAAAAATTTACACTTTTATTAGAAGAATCCACAGATAGGTCAGCTGACAAGCGCTTATCTCTTGTCGTTAGGTACTGTACAGAAAACCTTGATGTCATTACCCTACTGAGATGAGAGATACCTCCCATTTTTTCTATTTTTTTTCTATGGCACAGTTTGTTTTGGAATCTTTTGTAGCTATTTACGTACGATATTAGGAAACGAATTAAATAAATTTGGTTGTCTTAAACTGTTTCAAACCCTGGTAAAAATTGGCGATAGGAGTTGCGTTTCAAAATGCCATAGGAGTTCTTAAAGCCGACTAAAGAAAGCTATTGAAAATCATATTGCTGGCTGTAGAAAGCGGAGCAAATCATATAGCCGGGCTGTACGAAGCTATAAAAAAGTATACAGTCGGGTTATAGTTCCTATCACCGGGCTTTACACTTTATCGCCATTGGCTATGAAAGGCTATACGAAATTGTGTAGAAATTCGTGTGCTTTGGAACTCATTAAGTTTGATACGGAACTACCTTAATATTTACAGAACACACATTATATTTTCCTT